ACTCTGCTGATTTTCCAGGATGTTTTGAATATATCCAGAACTCTGGAGTGAGACTTTCTGGTTTCAATGCTGGCTCTGTCACGTTAAGCAAATTACTTAGCCTCATTGTGCCTCAGTTTCCTCATGTGAAAAACAGTGATGATAATAGCTCTCACCTGTCTTCATTTGGGTTCCCCCAGAAGCAGACCTTGAGAGAAAGATTTGAGTACAGGTAGCTTACTGGGGAGGTGACCCCATGACACAGCAGTAAAGGTGTAAGGAAGTGAGACAGGGAAGGGAAGAAAGTCAACAAAGGGTATCAAACCAGTTCCTACCATGGGCAACTGGAGTTCCATCCCCTTGGGGAACTTGGGGTGACAGCACAGAGCAAGGTTGGGCGACTGTGTCCTGGGCCATAAAACAGTTTTATTGGAATAGCCACTCCTTTTCACTTACATATGGTCTGTGGCTGCTTTCACACTGTAACAGCCAAGTTGCGTAGTTGTGATGGAGACTGTGTGGCTCACGAAGCCTAACCTGGACCGACCTGTACTGAACAACTTCGCCAGCTTCCGCTGTAGAACACGCGCCAGAGTTATCCCAACCTAAGGACAAGGAAGCCAGCAAGTCTTCCTGTGTCGTTAGTGGAGGGCTGCCACCCTTCCCCTCTGCTCCCTTCTCCTCCTTCCACCTGCCAGTTTGCCTCTTCTAGGCTTTCGCCTGGGCAATATCAATGCTGATGACAGTTATGTTTACTTCTGTGGCTAAAATTAAGTCTTCCGTGCTTTGTGCATCTGTTGATTCTAAAAGTTGAAACTCAATGAAAAGTGTTTATCTTATATCTTGTGACCATATAAATATGTTTTGTTGCAGAGCTAGTAGTCACCAAGATTACATTTCCTTTCTTGAACAATTTGTAATTGTCTTCTGAAAAACAATATTTGATGCATTTATTATATGATTATATGAAAGCCATGTTAGTTGTAAATGGTGATAATGTAATGAATACCTGTGTACTATCACCCAACCCAGGAACTAGACTATTACCAATTATGTGTATGAGCCAGGGTAATGCTCCCTGTACCATTCTTTCGCCTCTGGCTGCTTTTTAAAAAATACTATGCAATCAGAAATGTATTTGTGCTTAAACAAAGCTTTGTTTAGTTGTGCTTGGTTATGAGCTCTATAAAAATGGTATGATATGTATAGTGCAGCCTTCTTGGAGTTACGTTTTTCAGGAAACGTTGTTTTCAAGACTATTCCATGTTTTTGTGTATTGCTGTGAGAACTGCTTGTCGTTATTAGAAATCCTTAGAAACTCCAGGGAAACCTAAAAGGGATTCAAGGAAGGAAACACAGTCTCGATGATCTCTGGTTCTGCATAAATGACATTCCCAACAGGCCTAGTACGCCCTCTTCCACACTGTCCCCTACTGCTCCCATCTTCAGGGTCCAGCCTCCTGGCTCAGTGCCCTGACGGTGGCCGCTTCGTCTAAGGATGGCACTTGTCCCTGGCAGGGCCAGAGAATGTTTGGACCTGGAACTGGGAGGTTTCCACTCTGGCGGCTGAAGGTGTAAGATGCGCAGCTTGGGCTGTGAGGGCCACATTTCCCACCATGTGGACCAGAGCAGAGGAGATGCTGGTCTGCAGAGAAAGAGCAAGACGTTCAGGGAGGGGCAGAGGACACAGTCAGGGAAGAGCCCTCGCAGGGTTTGAGTTCCCACTTCCAACCATTCCTGAGGTCCAGCTGCGGCATGTGACGTCAGGATTCATAGTTAACCCTCCTTTTGCTTAAACTACTCTGTGTTCTGTTCCATCATTCGCAGCCGCCACTGGCAAGGCAAGGATGCCTGCCAGGAATTATCTTCTGTTATTACTCCTTCCCTGTTTGCTAGTAAAAGACTGCACAAACAATTAAAATGATAATTTAACAATATAATTGCCACTTACTGGGAATTTTCTGTGACCCAGTGAGTGCTTTTTGTTCATTATCTCATTCAATACTCAAACCAAGTCTATGAGGCAAATACTATTGTCCCTGTGTTACAGATGAGTAAACTGAGGCATAAAAAAACTAAAAGACACCCAGGTTAACAAAGCTATTAAGAGGAAGATCCATTATTCATACCTTTGTCTGTTGGACCCCAAAGCCTGTATTCTTTTTTTTTTTTAATTTTTTAAAT